TTTTTTTATAAATTAATTCTAAATATAACACTCTTTTGTTTTTATTTTTCAAATCTAACATTTTTTGCCGCACCTATTGTTGAGGCTAATACCGCGCCATGCATGGTGGCGCGGCGGAGGTCGACGATGGCGACGACCGGACGGGGTGACCATTGGCGGTGGCGCGGCGCTGTCGCGCCACCGATCTTGGCGCAGCAGCGAGTGCGCGCTGACCGATCCGTGGTGCGACAGAGCCGTATAAAAACCCCACGGCCGATCCCCGCCGGCCCGAGCAGCCTTCTCGCCCACCCACGCTGGCCACCGCGCCAAGGCGTCCGCCCGACCCTCCGTTGCCGCCTCCTCACTTCTCTTCCATTCCCGGCCGCCTCCCTCCCTCATCGTCCTCGTTCAAGGTAATGACACATTTTTTATTTTCGTTTTGAATGGTGGATATGAATATTATGAATGTGAGTTAAGGTTAGGAGAAAAATTATGTTTGGGAACTATGGGCTACGGTTTGAAGGTTAATTATTTAGTCAGAAGTTTGTTTACTATGCATATTTTTGTTGCTATAAGTGTTGGTTATATTATTTAAGTTGCGATGCAAATGATTATATTTTACACTAATTTGCGTTGTTTTGATTAATGTTTAATTTAAACCGTTTTATTATATGCAAGACATGTTTCGAGAGCAGTTGTGCCGAAAACGGGGTCGTCCTAGAGAATTATATCCCGACGAGTCTAGCAAAGATGCCCTCGTCCCTCCTGAACCCCCTGTCCATAACTGTGAATGTGGTCGTCCGGCCGACGTGTTTCAATCGAGACATCTCGACACAGCGGCTCGTTGCTTCTACACATGCAGTCGTTTTAATGTAAGTAATTATTTTCGTATGTTTTTTTCTTCATTTGTATTACTAGATTAATAATATTTTGTTGAAATTTTGTTGTGTAGGCCCATGAGAGGTGTTTTTTCTTTCAGTGGATCGACGGTGCAGACAAGTTCGAGCACAAGTACCTCCTTTTCGACGATTGGTGGAGAGGGCGACATCCACGAGAGCAATTCGAGCGGTGGGTTCCACCTCCCCCTAACCTCTCCTTCAATGACAGCTAAGGAGAAGCACTTAGTCGCAGTTAGACGACTCGAGGAACCTTCTATGTGCAATTGCGGAGATCGAGCTATGAAAAACCCTGAGAATACGTTTGAGTTTATGTGTCCAAACAAGCATGAAGTAAATGCAAAATGTATGTGTTGAAATATTGAGCTATATGTGTTCATATACTAATGACACCTAATTTAAGTGTTTTCAATAATGAAGTGTCGTTTCAAGGAGTGGTTGTATGGTCCTAAGAACCAATGGCCTGAAGAACCTCTAAAGGCAAAGCAAAAGAAGAAAGAAAGGTCAATTTATAAAGCACCTCCAGTCAAGTGCGAATGTGATGTTCAATCCAACTACGGTCTAGTCCCTTCGGAGCTTGGAATAGGCCATTATTGTGGTCATATGGTTGACTATGATAATGTTGGTTATTTTTGTGGTAACCATAAAATCATATTTTGTTTCTTTTGCTAAGACATATATGATATAATTTTTCGTTTGAACAGAGCACTAGGAAATACAGGTAAGAATGTTATGATGGTCAAGCTAAGTTCTTGATGAACTGAAGGGGAAGAAAGTAATTACACGGAAGAGGGGATATGGACCTGACTATGTCAACCTATTCGTTAAACATCACAAAGACAAGATGCGTGAGTTTGCTAGACGACGCGGTATTTGTAACCCGATCGATGTTGGACTTGACAAATGGGGATTGGAGAGACAAATCATGTTAGAGGAGGAGAGGGCAAGGAAGGAGGCAAGGGAGGAGACAAGAGTACAGATGCAGGTCTTGAACGAGCATGTTGTTGCATTATGTGCCAGTGAGTGCTTAAAAGCCTATTTTTCATTGCCTGATTTTAAATGTAATATAATCGCGTTGCTAACTGATTGCATTTTATACATGAAGGGATTGGATGCAGCGAGGAACATGCTGCAGAGGTGGCTCATGCAAGGTACGAGGAAAAGAAGTTAGATGAGCATAGAAAGCGAGCTGGTCGCACCGTTGAATCACCGATTGTGTTGTCTGATGAGGCGGAGGAGGCTGAGGACTTCACTGGTAGACTGAGCAAGCTCATCGCTCTAGCAGAGGCGGGCTTGCAGGCGGAGGATGTAGAGGATGACACTGGCAGACTGAGCGAGCTCATCGCTTTGGCAGAGGCGGTCTTGCAAGCGGAGGAGGATGATGACGTGTTCTTCACTCAGGCCGTAGAGGCCGCTGATGAAGCGGAGGCCGCTTACTACAGGCAAAAGGCAGATCAAGGCAATACAGGTGAGCCTAGCCACAGCAACAGGGTTGTGGATGAGGATTGGTACTTGGACGACGAGTTGCTTACTCAGTATGTTTCTGAGTGAGGGTTTATGATTGTGCCTTCTGTTAGTTCCATGCGTTATTAATGTAGCTATGTACTACAAATTCCATTGTGTTGTCTTATATTCCATTTGAACTATTTATGTATTGTACCCATGTATCATGTACTTGGATTACCCATGGTCGATCTTAAGTGATCCCATCTGTTTGTATCATGCGTCGAGAATTTCTAAAATAAATATAATCGAATGAAATTATTTCGAATATAGCGCCATAGCCCACTGGTTCTGCCACGCCATAGTCCATGGCACGGCAGTGACGCGCCATAGCCCACGGCGTGGCAGTGACACTGACAGAAACTGACCAGCCTCAATTGAGCTGCTGCCGGTGCTGTAAACAACTACAAGTGCTGCCGCGACCGTGCGCAATGTGAAACGAATATGAAGCAAATAAATTGACGATAAGTTGCCACATAACATTTTCATTGGTTTATGAGTCTGCAAGTTTCAGATGACAATATTCGTTTGACATAAGTTCGACGTAACGAATTAAGTCCCAGGAATATAAGGATCCCTCGAACGCCTTTTGGAAACCTCGTCGTTCGGTGGAAGAACGGGGTAGTCGTACTCCACCTCAAGAAAGGGGTACATCTGGTGCGGCATGGGAGGGGCCATCCTGTTACAAATTGATAAACAAAAGGTTAGAGTATTCAAATTAACAATATTCAAATTAACATTATGTATCATTGCAAAATTTGAACAACTTATTATGCAATACAAACACAATATGAAAGCACCTGCTGCCCTCGTCTTCTATGCCTGCTAGCCTTGTGACCAGATTCTTTACAAACGGAGCAAAGATTCCTGCCACGGGTCTCGTTGAAGTCTCCCCCGATGTACATGTCTTCGCCGTACTCTCTCATAGCATCCATGTCCCCCTTGAGTCGCTTCTTCGTCCTCCTACTCTTCCCTACCTTCATTAAATCCGGATGCGGCACGTAGTCATAACCATTATAAGGTGGCCACTGTGTCGGGTCAAAGTATGGCTCGAAGCTCATCTCCCAAATACTAACGGTGTTCGAACGGAGATAAAGGGTGCCATATGACATATCCTCATAGTTGTACCCGCGAACCCTGCAGGCCGAGATCATATGAGAGCAAGGGGCATGCATGATCTGAGGAACATTGCAACTACACTCTACCTTTTCAATATTAACACGGTAGTTTCATCCACCATAACATTCGCCGCCCAAGCTTGTGCCACCCTTGCCCCTTACACTAAAGATATGGCGGCGGGGTCCATACGGCTCGGCGGTGTGCTGCTTGGCCAATTCCTCCGCCTCCTTCAAATGTTCAGCTTCGGCCTTTCCAAAATGCCCCTGTACAGCTATATTCCTCTGCGCAAGTTTCTACCTCTTGATAAAATGCCTCTGCTGAAGGGAAGCCCGGGCACGCGCGGGGTCGCCGGGCCCTGGGTCCGCCCATGTTCAGAGCTAAATACATAACAATGTAGCTCTGAAATTGAGATAACGATCATGCTTTGCGACAGATCTCGAATTTTAGATTCTACCATTAATCTCACACAAGATGCGAACTAAATAATCAAAAGATTACATCTATGAGGTGGTGCAGGACTGCAGGTCAAGGTGGTTTTTATTATTCACATCTATATGGTTTGTTGTTCTCATCTATCCAAATGTTACTTGTTTTTTTGTCAAGAGAATCACAGGTAAACAAATATATTGTCAATAGCACATTACACATTTATAAAATGGATCACAAGATCCTTTTCAGCCTTTGTAACTTATGGGAGTGGGATATACCAAAATGAAATCACAATACGGTGAAACAATCTCATGATCAATTCAAAGATAACAATGTATATCACTCAAAGACAAGTACTCAATCCATCCCAAATTGTAAAACGTTTAACTTTTTTGATACCAAGTTTGACCACTCGTCTTATTCAAAAATTTGTGTAAAATATCACTTCTTTCGTCGTGGTTTGGTTTATTAATAAAAATTCTTCAAGAATGACTTAAATTTGACTATATTTGCACAAATTTTTTGAATAAGACGAGTGGTCAAACTTGGGGCCAAAAAAGTCAAACGTCTTACAATTTGGGATGGAGGGAGTAGTAGATAACCTAACACACCAACATTGTCATCCAAATCAAATTACGGGAAACATATTAAACCCGGTCTACACTAGAATACTACTCTTCTAGGTGAGGACTTCTTTCATCCGAGGACTAAGATTTGAGGTGAAATATTCATGAGCAAATAACAAGTAGTCATCAATTTAAATGTTCATTTTTCTCTTCTAAATTTTATAGTGTTTCCATGAAATCTATGCTGATATAGTGATATATCTGAAGTACTCGTGTATTTTAAGCAGGCCGAGACTGAAAATGTTCTCTTAACCAACTAACCATGATTACTCTTTTACAAAAACAACCCTGGTCCATGGTAATAAAAAAACGAATTGAACACACATAAAAAGGGGAAAAAAATAAATGGACAAATTTTAAAATCCACGGCACGGCAGCCTTCCTCGTCTTCTCTCCATCCACTCCAACTCCACTCCCTCCGCCGCCGCCAGCCCGCCCGGCCGCCGCCATGGCGGCCCCACGCCCTCGCCCACCCCTCATCCTCCTCCTCCTCCTCCTACCAATCCCGCTCGCCTGCTCTTCAGCCACCGACCTTGCTGCCCTCCTCGCGCTCAAGGCCGCGGTCGCCCACGACCCCGGCGGCGTCCTCTCCGCTTGGTCCGCCGCCTCCACCACCAGCTACTGCCGCTGGCGAGGCGTCAAATGCTACCCTTCCTCCTCGGTCGTCGCCGCCATAGACCTCTCTGCTTCCTCCCTCTCGGGCACGCTCCCCGCTTCCCTGCCCCTTCCCCCGCGCCTCCGCCGCCTCGACCTCGACGGCAACAACTTCTCAGGGCCCATTCCGAACGCCTTTCTCGCGTCCACCACCCTCCTCTACCTCGATCTTAGCTTCAATAGCCTGTCGGGGCCCCTCAGAATCCCGCCCTCTCTCGCCAACTCCTCGTCGACCCCCTGCGCCGCGCTCACCGACCTCCGCCTCGCCGGCAACCTCCTCGTCAACAATATTCCCGCGGAGATAGCGCAATGCCGATCCCTCCGCGTCCTCGACCTCTCACGCAACGTTCTGGAGGGCGCCATCCCGCGGAGGCTCGGCCGCCTCGCCGCGCTCCGCGTCCTCGACGTCTCACGCAACAGCCTCACCGACAGGATCCCGGTGGAGCTTGCCAGCTGCAGGAAGCTCGCTGTACTTGTGCTCACAAATATCACAGCGTCGCCTGGGGAGCAGCCGGAGTTCAATGCCTTCGTTGGGGGACTGCCGACGGAAGTGCTGGCCATCCCGGAACTGGCGGTTCTCTGGGCGCCTAGGGCCAACCTTGATGGCCGGTTGCCATTGTCCAGGAATGGTACCTGCGGCCTTCTTGCTTTGAACCTGGGGCAGAACCACATTAGTGATGCTGTGCCCCGGTGGTTGGGGGATTGTCAGGATTTGACATTTCTTGATCTGAGCTCCAACAGCTTCGAGGGATCAATGCCGACAGAATTGGCAATTGGATGTCTGACTTACCTTAATGTCAGCGGAAACCATCTGTCAGGACCGCTTCTATCATCTGAGGAGAGCAAATGCTCGAGCCGTTTGAGCACTGATGATATTGTAACGCAGTACTATAATGAATTGGTTGGTAATACCCTGATTGGAAACCCTTTTGGTTCTGAGTTTGGGGGCATTTCTAATGTCACTCTCCATGACTTCAGCAACAATGGCTTTGGTGGGACGTTACCATTTCTTACCTTGGGTCGACATGGAAACTACTCTTATGGCTTGTGGCTTAACGGCAATATGTTCAACACCACGCTTTCTGCTGGATTTTTCGGATTCTGCAAAGATGCAACTGGCATTGCAGTCAATTTGAGTAGTAATCAACTGTCAGGAAGTATTGACATGCTTTCAAGCTGTATTACTATTCACAATTTCGATGCTGGTTATAACAAGTTCAGTGGGTCCATACCTGCTGGAATCGGTGCTCTGCATTTGCTGAAGAGCTTGGTCCTGAAGGGTAATAATTTGACAGGTCAGGTTCCAGTGCAATTTGGTGATTTGGCTGCTTTGGAGGTGCTGGATTTGTCAAGGAATTATCTGTCAGGCAGCATACCATTACATTTAGCTGACGCTTCACACCTTGAAGTATTGAGGCTTGACCATAATAGGCTATCAGGAAGCATCCCTTCCGGTTTCAATGAACTAGCTCAGCTGACAATTCTTGATGTCTCAATGAACAATCTATCAGGCGTCATTCCTAATCTTAGGCACCCTGCTGATTGTGGTTTCTTCATTGGCAATTCCCTACTGTACCAATGTTTCGGTACACATGCATCTCTACCGCCAACTGAAGCAATCAATTCCTCGAAAGGGGGTAGCCAAGTGACTAGATTTAAGTCTCTAATTGTGATTTTAGTTGCAGCTGCTGCTGCTGTAATATCTTTCCTTCTTGTGACCCTTGTCTTCTTTGTGTGTGAAAGAAGGAAACGGGCAAAGATTTCAAATTTGAGGACACAAGTGGTTGTGACTTTCACTGATGCACCTCCTGAGCTTACTTACGAAAGCCTCATCCGAGCAACAAGCAACTTCAGCATCCAGAACTTGATTGGAACAGGTGGCTTTGGTGCCACCTACAAGGCTGAATTGGCTCCAGGTTTTCTTGTAGCAGTGAAGAGGCTAGCCATGGGGCGTTTCCAAGGTCTTCAGCAGTTTGATGCAGAAATCAGAACTCTTGGGAGAATCCGACATAGAAATCTTGTTACACTTATCGGGTACCATCTCGGAGAATCAGACACTTTCCTCATCTACAACTACCTCTCTGGTGGGAACCTTGAGAAGTTCATACATGAAATGGGTAACAGGAAGGTGACCTGGACTGAGGTCCACAAAATAGCTGTGGATGTTGCACAAGCATTGGCTTTCCTTCACGGCTCCTGTACACCCCGGATAATTCATAGAGACATCAAACCGAGCAACATCCTCCTTGATGAGCATCTTAACGCGTACTTGTCAGATTTTGGTTTGGCGAGACTGATAGAAGTTACACAAACACATGCCACGACCGATGTTGCTGGTACATTTGGGTATGTCGCGCCAGAGTATGCAACCACCTGCAGAGTCTCTGACAAGGCTGATGTTTACAGTTTTGGAGTTGTTCTCCTGGAGCTGATGTCAGGCAAGAGGTCTTTGGATCCCTCGTTCTCACAGTTTGGCAATGGTTTTACAATTGTATCATGGGGCCGGATGCTGATGCAGGAGGACAACACCAGTGAATTTTTCTCCCGAGGACTACTGGATACAGCACGAAAGGATAGGTTAACTGAAATGCTAAATACTGCTTTATCATGTACTTCAGAGTCTGTAGCAGTTCGGCCATCAATGAGGCAGGTTGCAGCAAAGCTGAAGCAATTGGGAAATGACTGCTGAACAGTAAGCTGAAGCAATTGGGGAATAACTGATGAACAGTCAGCAGTACGATGGTGGTTTGTCATACTATCATCCACATCTCCGTGTCACCCAAATTTTTGCATCATTGATGTGGTGAGATTATGAACTCTTCCGTACACATTATTTTGTGCTGAACTGTTATTATGCTTATCCCAAACATATATTTCTTCTGGAGATATTTAAGGAAGATCAAATACATACAAATTGATATCACTCCACTTGCATATTGTGTACTTAAGGGTGAAATATTTGGTTCAACCGTTCAAGTATATAATTGGCTATGAACCAATAACAAGTAGCATTGCCAGTGAATGAAACACTGAATTGCGTCCAAAGGGTCAGAATATATGGTGCTGTTTGAATGCGATACAGATAGCTAATTGTCAGGGACTCAGGGTGTATGCATTTTTGTCTAGATCGACTTGCCATTTTTTAGCTGATTCTTTGACTGTATTATTATGCATTCATACTTTTTGTTTGCTTTGACTGTATTATTATGCATTCATACCGAATTGCTTACTGCTCTGAGCAAACTAATCAATAACAGCTCCAAAAGTTGATACCATTTTTGTTCCCACATACTGTTCTGTGAATCAGAAGACATTTGAATTATCGATCCTGATTTGTCTCCGTTGCCCCCAAGCCTGCAGATTCCATCAAGATGGTGTCCTACTATCAGCATGAAGACAACTCGTCCCCGATCTGAGTCACCGGATACTTGATCTCAAGGATGCGGTGCCTGCTTGATTGCATCTCCAGAACAAGGCCCAAGCTCTCAGTTCCAGCTGGTCTGTTTCTGTTGCCGCGGTGGTGGCATCACATTGGAGTTGCGGTTGCTTCAGGACTTAGGCAGGAAGCCAGGAATGCAGGAACGCACAAGTATCACCATGCATATTCAGTTTTTACTGGATCTCATGAACACATGGACCCTATTCAATTTTTACTCTTGTTTCTCAACAGTGGAGTTGGGATGAAAAACGGACTGGATACAGATAAATATGTACGGATATGAATGCAGGTAATTATTATTTTTGGATTCAGATAGCATGAGATGCATCTTATTGATACCCATCCATATACAGTACGTCCCATGCATCTAATAACTTTTTTTTTTGAAAGTCTACATCTAATACTAACTTTGAACATCTGGATTCACGTACTGTGCGGACATTGAATGTCTGGATTCTTTGAACCCCTTTCGGATAGATCGATACCTAGAAATATCGACTACACAGCGGAAACCTTTTTCAGGGAATCGGAGATTAGCATGTACTGCTATCATGTTTTTGTTAAGTACTGTACTGTATGTGCAAAAAATGATCCATGTTATGGTATTCCCGATAATCCCTTGTTACAGCACATCCATGGTCGAAACCAAACTCATCAAATCCTTATAATTCCGCTAATGGCTAGCTACTGCTTATTAACAACAACTGTGGTCTGCTGCGTGTCGACCCTGACCCTGTACTTGTACCGCTTGGCAAAGTAGACGAAGACGAGCAGGTTGATGGTGCTGAGCACGGCGAGCAGCCAGTACAGGTAGTCGAACCTGCCGACGTTGATGTTCTGCGCCAGCCACGACGGCCGCCCCTCCGCGTCGTTCCGCGTCGCGGCATCCACGGCGGTGTTGATAGCCGACGCCACGAAGCAGCCGAGCCCGCCGGCGACGGCGGCGTACGCGGAGCCGACGCTGCGCATGGCGTCGGGCGCCTCCTGGTACAGGAACTCGAGGAGCGCGACGAGGCAGAACACCTCGGCGACGCCGATGAGGCAGTACTGGATGAGCAGCCAGTAGGCGCTGAGGTCCGGCATGGGCGTGAGGAAGAGGGCGAGGTAGCCGTGGCGGACGGCGTAGCCGCGGCGGTAGCGCTCGAAGAGCCCCGCCCAGGCGACGGAGAGGATGGAGAAGAGGAGGCCCAGCCCGACGCGCTGCAGCTGGGAGGCGCCGTGCGGGTGGCCCGAGAGGCGGCGCGCCAGCGAGGCGAAGGTCTGGTAGTAGAGCGCCAGGATGAGGAAGATGGCGAGGCAGGGGAACACCGGCATGCACGTCACCGGCAGGTGCAGCGCCGCCACGCGGGTGTTGAGCGTGTATGCCTGCTGCACCGACAGGGTGAGGAACTCGGTGAGGACCACGCTCAGCATCACCGTGCACGCCGGCACCGGCAGCAGCCGCAGCAGGATCTTCACCTCCTCCACCTGCGTCACCGTGCACAGACGCCACGGGTTCACCGCCTCCTCGCCACCGGCGAGGTCACCCTCCATCTGCAGCGCGGCCTTGTCAAGCCATCTGGATGCATGATCACTCACTGAGTCACTGACTTGGATGGATGTGGCAGAATCCTGAGCGTTCGTTCGTTTGCGTGAGCAGAGCATCCAACGGACGAGAATCACGTACGCACGTACCTGAAGTCGTCGGTGTGGTCGATCTTGGCGTTGCCACGGATGGCGGACTTGGCGCCGGCGACCTCGTAGAGGCCGACGAAGTCACCGCTGTCGAAGGCCGCGTTCCGTTTCCTGAAGGCGGCGACGAGCACCTGCGCCACCCGCGTGAGCGGGCTTCCCCCGGGCAGGCGGTGGCGGTAGAGCGGCGTGCCGACGAAGAAGAGCGCGTTGGAGGCGCCCATGGCGAGCGCGAGCGTGCCGAACGCCGCGGCCCAGCCGTGCTGCATCTGGATGTACACCACGGCCGTGAATGCCGCGATGGCGCCAGCGTGACGGCGAGGTAGAAGAGGTTGAAGAAGCGGTCGAGGCGGCGCTTGTACCCGGGGCGGCGCTCGTCGAACTGGTCGGCGCCGAAGGAGGAGACGCAGGGCCGGATCCCGGCCGCGCCGAACGCCGTGACGTAGAGCGCCGTCTGGAGGTACGCCATCTGCCAGGGCGCGGCGGGCGCGCAGGCGCCCAGCAGCATGGCGAGCTTGTCAGAGCCCTCCTGGGTGGGCACGAGCGCCGGCACGCTGGCGCTGACGGTGAGCGCGATGAGGCCCAGCAGGTACATGATGGTGAAGATGGCGATGGTCCAGTACCGCCCCAGCCCCCAGGTAGGCGTCGGCGAGGAAACCCCCCAGCACGGAGGATGCCTGGGAGATGCCGAGGAAGTTGTTGACGGCGTTGGCGGAGCTGGTGAAGGGCGGTGCATGACCTTGAACATGAAGATGACCATGTTGACGGAGAGGCCGAAGTAGGCCATGCGCTCCACCATCTCGTTGCCGAAGATGAAGAAGGCCGCCACCCACCCTCCCGTCCTCGACAGGTCCCGGATCGGCTCGCCGCGGATGTTCACCGGCGTGGTGCCGCCGCCCGCGGCGGAGGAGGGCGGCTCGTCGTAGCCGCCGCCGAGGGGCGTCCTGCAGCCGCGGGAGAAGCGGCGCTCGCCGCTCTCCAGGAAGTGCGCGCCCAGCTTCTTGCGCTGCAGCGCCGACAGCGAGCCTGGCTCCGGCAGCACCTCCGGCGACTTGATCTCCTTGGCGGCCGCCGGCGGGGGGCGGTGCTTCCAGCTCCATCGCGGACGCCGGAGCCATCCGAGCGAAAGCAATCAAATCTTTTCAAGAACAGGGGATGTGAAGCCTGATCGGCAGCAGCAGGCCAGCAGCCGACGCCGCCTTGCAGGAACAAGTCACAAGTGGGCGTCGTCAGTCGTCACCGGGAGCTGAAGCGCAGTCCTGCCTGCAGCGATGCACACAGATACGCTTGCATTTATTACCGGAGCTCGCCAGCACGGATGAGGAGCCAGCAGTCAGTTTAATGGCAGCATTAAGCGCGACAAGGACTGCGTTCCTGCGCTGCACACTGCAGTAAGGACTTGTATAGACGAGTGTTAGGAATCAGAATTGAGCATCGTATTTTCGTTTGTATTTGATAATTATTGTTCAATCATGACTTAATTAGATTTAAAAGATTCGTCTCGTAATTTATAATTAAACTGTATAATTAGTTATTTTTTTTATCTACATTTAATACTCCATACATATGTCAAAAGATTTGATGTGATGAAAAGAGAGTGAAAAAACTTGGAATCTAAACGAGGCCTAACTAAAAAATATCTCGGCGCTCACCCTGCAGCTATATGCTACTGCTGGCTCGATCTAAGCCATGTTTAGATTACAAAAAAATTCAACCCGATGAATAGTAGCATTTTCGTCTTATTTGATAAATATTGTCCAATCGTGGACCAACTAAGCTCAAAAGATTCATCTCGTGATTTCCAACTAAACTGTGCAATTAGTTATTTTTTTACCTACATTTAATGCTCCATGCAAACGGCTAAAAATTGATGTGATGGAGAGAGAGTGAAAAAACTTGGAATTTGGAGGTGATCTAAACAAGGCCCTATGAACATTGAATAGGCAGGTGTCCGTACACCAGACGAGATGAATTTTCCAGAGCAGGTAGGCCTGGTTAAAGTTTTCCAAACGGGCCTGGCCCATCGGGCCAGCACGGGCACGGTGCTGATTTGGCCCGGTCCGAAAACGGCCCGGCCCGGCCTCTCCCGTGCTCGTGCCAAGCACGGCACGGCCTCGTGCCCGTGCCTGGGCCGCTATGCTAGCCCGTTGGCACTGCACGGGCACGGCCCGCTCCAAAGGCCGGCACGGGGCCGACACGGCTAAGAGCCGTTGGATGAAGCCCCCGGCGAGCGCTGGCCGTTGGATGAAGAGCTACGGTGGGGCGCCTATATAAGCCAGGAGCCGCCCGGGGGAAGCTACTGTGCTCATTTCTTCCCCCTCCACGCCGCGCGCACCTCGCTCTTCGGCTCTGCTCTCTCGTTCGAAACCCTAGCCGCTCACTCTCTTCTTTTCGCCGTCCGGTGGTTGGTGACAGCGGCGGTGGCTTTCACGGGCACACGGCACGGCCTTGTACACCCCTTCTCTTCTCTCTGACCGACGATGTAGCTTAGTCGTTGAGATCTCCAACGAATCGTCTTCGTCTCTCTCTCTCGTCGCGCTCGTCGCGCTCGTCGATCTCGCCGGGCTCTGGCGTCATTGGGGCTCCGCTATGATGCGTTGAGGTACCAGGACGCCGAATCTGAGCGATGTCGTCGTCGCCGTTGCCTCTGGTGCTCCGTCAAGCGAGGTGAGTTAGATCTGTTTCTTGTTCTTCTTCTTCTTCTTGATTCGTTGTTCTTCTTCACTTCTTCTTGTTGATCTTGCTTTGTTGTTTTTTACTTCTTTTTCTTCTTCTTGATTTAACCCTAGATCTGTTTCTTTTTTTGAAGCCACTAGCGTTGAGGGACCGGAGGCCGGCGACGACAAGATGTCGGATGAGCAGGAGGACATCGGTCTCTCCATGACGATCAACGACGAGTTGCGCCTCTGCGGGATGACCGGAGACGACGATGACGATATTGTTGGGGATGCTAAGGAGATCTTCGGTCGTCGTGCTGTCGAGGAGCTCAACGGCGGTACTGCTACTCACCCACTTCCCGTCGACGACGCTGACGGCCCCAACGCCGTCCAGGGCGACACTCAAGCTGCTGATGAGGCAGCCATTGCACAGCCCTTCCTTTTGATATTTTGTTGCCTGGTGTTCTCTTCTTGATTTTGATTTCTTCATATTTGAGCTGTTCTCTGTTTTCTGAAATTTTGATATGGTTTTGTGGGTTAGTGCCAAGGCACGGCACTAACACGCTGGACTGCCGTGCCTAGTGGCACGGCACGGCACGGTCTGGAGTGCTTAGTGCCGTGCCTGGGCCAGAGGCTGAGCACGGCGGCACTACACGGCACGGCACGGCAAGGCTACCGTGCCTGACCATGCCGTGCCTGGCCGTGCCGTGCCCAGCCGTGCTCGTGCCGTGTAGTGCCCGTGCGGCCCGTTTGGAAATCTTTAGGCCTGGTGGCAGATCTCGACCTCCCTTTTTCCCTCTTCCAGTCTTTCCAGACCGGGGAAGAAGACAAGGAGGCAGCACACCTGAACCTGAACGGCGCGGTGTGGTGTGGTGGTGGTTGAACGCGCGGGATGGGTAGCGGAGGTAGCAACAAGCTGCACCGGCCGGTCCACGTCCAGGTCCAGGACGCCAGGAGCAGTGTGCATGCTCCAGCCACCAAAAAATGATGAATTTTTTTATTTTATAATTTTTTTAAACTAATTTTAAATCTAACACTGTTTATTTTTTTCTTCAAAACTAATACTTTTGGCCACGTCTATTGTCATGGCGTGGCGAAAAGTAGTGGCGCGGCGAGAGGGGTGACGTGGCGACGACTGGGGCGCTGACCGGTGACGTGGCAGGGTCTGTCGCGCCACCGATCTTAGCGCGGAAGTGACGCGTCATAGCCCACGGCGTGGCAGGAATAGATAAATAACGGCCGCGAGTCGCCCTCCCTCCCGCCTGCCCGTGAGCCGCCCGCCCTCCGTCCTGCCTGCCTTCCTGCCCGCAGCGCCGCCGCCCACCGACTGCCGTGCCTGCCGCGCGACGCACGCCGGCGCGACACGGACGCCCTCACTGCAGTTCAACCCTCGCTGATGTGAAATTTGATGCCTATTTCTTCATAATCAAAACCCTCGTACCTTCACTACCCCTTTATATTAATCGTTAGTCATTAGATTGAGAGATTCTTTTAAAATATACTTTAGCCGTTAATTTATCTTATATTGTATTATTATTTATATACTTTAATTGTTAATTTTCTTATAATGTATTATTAATTATAGCGAAAACAAATGTCTAATTAAAAGACACTAGAACCTCCAAAATCATGCACAACATCATCGATATCTTACTGCTATAAGTCCATCATGGCATTGTGCAAAAAAATAGACAGCTTGTATTTGTAGACATATTAGTATAGAGTATAGGACTAAGTATGCCACACATGATAGTTCTCAATCAATTCATCTTATACTGGACTACTCATCCCTAGGTTAAAATTATAATGAGCTGCTCTAGTAGATGCAGACAAGCTATTGTAATAATTTAATAAGAAACACGAGTGGACAGCAGGTCTATACATAGAAGTTGTTTATTTTTCTAGTGATGTTGTTTAATATGTCTGTTAATGTTACTTTAAATATATACATGTGCTTTCATATTATGTTCCTATTGCATAACAAGTAGTTTAAATTTTGCAATGCTACATGATGTTAATTTGAATATTGTTAATTTGAATACTCTAACCCTTTGTTTATCAATTTATAACAGGATGGCCCCTCCCACGCAACATCTGTTGTACCCTTTCTTGAGGTAGAGTACGACGAGCTGCACCGAGCACACATCTTGAGTGACACCGATGCAGAGGTGCCCTTGCCTCCTTTGAGGCCCCGCACGCATACCAGGCGCGCACTGGGACGAGCATTACGGGTCGTACATACTGCTGGCGTGCCGGCTTTCTCGAGCTTGTCCGTGTTGTTGTTAACGGTCTTCCGCCCCTTGACCCAAAGACTACTTATCTGCACTATAGACAAGTGCGAGTGCCTTCATTTTACGTAAACATTTTTATAACAAATTTAAGGCAGCTAATAAATCGTTCTATTCTTATAATGTGGAGGCACGAGACCCCACACGTTCCACCTACCTTTATGGGCGAGATGACCTTGACCATGCAAGAGGCGTGAAGGCTATCTTTGACCTTCGGTTGGGGGGGACTTCTAGTGACAGGTATAGTTGACAATGATCACTGGAGGGAGCTGATGGCTCAGTTCACTGGCTTTCTTCCACAGGACGACGATGTTTCAAAGAAAAATAAGTGAGCAATTCAAGCCTATTTAATACTTGCATTGCTTTCCTGCAGCCATCGGGTCTCATTTTCTTTGGTGAATTTCAGGAAAAGTTTCGGTGTTTCGTCATCGTGGATCACAGAGCGCTTTGATTACTTGGACCCATAGGCTGATGAGGCTCGTATCAACAAGTTCGCTATAGTGTGGCTCTGGCACTTCCTTTGTGCTTTCCTCTTCCCAGACGTCTCGGGCAACACCATCAGCTGGATCTTCCTTGACATACTACGCCAGTCGTGGGATAACATAGCGGCGTACAGCTAGGGCAGCGCAGTCCTGGCATGGACGTATCGACAGCTATGCGTTACCTACCATCGCACCTCAAGGTATGCGAACCTTGGGGTTGCTCCTACCTACTCCAGGTTTGGTGTTGGGAACGATGGCCCATTGGGAGGCCCCTTGCTACTGGTTTACCGGTAAGTACTTCGGTTCACTATATTCTTCGAGGCAGTTACATATGATTAAATTATTAATGGCTAATTCATTATCATGTTCAAT